CTGTCCGTTGCTTGTTGAAGAAGTATGGGATCACGTTCCTGCTGAGCTCAAGGAGAAGAGTGCCCATCCTGCACGCGCGGTCTGGTCGCCTCTTCCCGCGCTCGCGGCGTCTGAATCTGCTAGTCTGGAGGCCATGAGCGAGACAACTAGCACGCTGGGCGCAGCCATCAAGATCGCACAAGAGCGCCTCCGTGCCGAGAAGAAGATCGGTTCAAGTCTCGAGAGCGCAGCGACGGTTTACCTACCAGAAGCCACCAACGCCGAAAACTTCTACTCCGAGTTCTCCAAGTGCATGCATCCTACGATTCTCACGCCAACAGATCTCGAGACTCAATTGGCTGGCCTCTTCGTCATCAGCGAAGTCAACCTTTGGACACCGACTGTCTCATGTTTTGCGAACAACGTTTTCATGGCGGAGGATCCGGATACGATGAAGAAGAAGTCGTTGTGGTGGGAGGAGGAAGCGCTTTCGAGCGACGCGGGAGTGTTGGGGAAGGCGAAGGTGCTCGTGCATCCGCCTAGTGGGGAGAAGTGTCCGAGGTGTTGGCGCTTTGTCAAGGAGGAGAAGGAGGAGGTTTGTGGGAGATGTAGGGATGTGGTCTCGCTGCAGGGTGGGGCGTAGATGTGGATGTAGCTGCGGAGCTGCCTTGTACAATATTGTAACATTTACAATTCATCGATCGCTGCATATGTGTGGGTGCTGTCTGAAGCGGCTCATAGATCTCACTTCTACTCTGAAGTCATTGATATATGCTGATGTAGAGCGATCTGAGAATAATTAGAACACTGGGCGACAAGCGCTTCGTAGCAGTGAACGAAAAGACAATCAGTAACAACATGGTCTCGCTACGCGCCTACTTCTTTCCAACCCTTCTCTTTGCGACCCTTGATTAAACGCAGTAATGTCTCATGTTGCTTCCGGTATGGCACTTGAGTACAGCCAAAGCATCTCAAGCCCTCACCAGTCCTTAATCCAACGCGTCAGCTCCTGCTTGCTCCACAAGTTCTGTGAAATCCGAGCCACAATTTGGACATGTGAGGCCGTTTTCATCTCTATGCCATTCTTTGTGACACTCGTGACAAAAGAGCAACCCGCTATGGCCAGCTACCAATTGCCTGTTTGCATCCAACCCGAGCGTTTCTCTCCATGAGGATCCAATGGCAGGATTGTCGTTTGACGGATTCTCACTACCCTCCGATGAGCCCCAGACTGACGGGGCTGGGTTCTCTTCTCCAAGAGCTGACCGTGATTCAAAATCCGACACCGTCGGATTGTATGGCAATTGAGGAACAGCAGGCTTGGCTGGAGAGGGTTTGTTTCGACTTCCAATGGCTTTCGAGAGTCTCTGTCGCCATGATCGCCTTTCTTTAGTGTTCACAACTTCCGTAGGGCGGCTGTCTGGATTCATGCGTGGCCGCTGGTTGGACTGGTCGGACTGAATAGAAGTTTGAGCGCCTGTACTCCTTATACTTGGTGCATAATAAAGTGGAAGATCAATGGGCGTGACAGAAGCTCCAGAGTTTGTACGCGCGATACTCAATGCGAGATTTCGATCGCGGGCTGAACCCGCTGTACTTGCCGCGGAATTCGGACAGGAGAATGCATCCGGGTACATCGGCGCTCCAGATAATGGCACATGGTCGTGTGATCCAAAGGGTTGATTGGGGTTTGATGGTCTGTCAGGACTAGTGTTTTCTGCGAACTGGCTCTCAAAAGAGGCTCGCGAATAGTGCGAGCGTCCCCGGTCCAACTCACGTTTTCGAAGCGGTTCTCCTGGTATCTCTGGATACGTGTGGGACTCTCTACGGAAAGGTGAGAAGAGCTTTGCAGTGATACGGCCAGTTCGTTCTGCAAGAGACATAGGAGGCTTTCGCATGGAGGGAGGTTTCGGGGATGGGATAGTGGGTTCCTTGAACATAGCCTCTGGGTCTGAAGTCTGCGGAGTCGACAGATATGATGTATAATCTGATGGTCCGGGTGCCCCAACCGGGTTAGTGTCTCGCCGCGCCCATGGTCTGTCGCTCGGTCGCCCTAGGTCGATTGCCCCACTGCGATCCCAACCTACAGCCTTTGAGTCTCTTTCACTCATCGGTTCCTCGCCGATAGCCACATTTGGGGTCATTAGCTCGCTCTTCGAGCTGTCCGCCTCTTGTTCACTATACATTGCCGACCGGGCATCTTTGAACTTTGGCGTGATCTGATCCCATGAAGTATCTACTTCTTCTTGGATACCTTCGCTCGAACCCAATGCCGGTGTCTTGTCCTGCTGGGTGTACTGATCGTTCTCTGCGGCTCGCAAAAGACGCATTCTCCGACTGAAACTACCAGTCCTACTGACTGACGCTTCCGATATAGATTCATGATTTGAAGGATCCGAAGCTACCCTGGTTGAGCCTTCGCTGGACAGTGCCGGTACACCTTGCCGTGCGGCGTTTGAAAATGTATCGTTCTCTTCCAAAGTGGCCATAAAGTCCGTTTGGGGTATGGCGAATAGTGCGAGTTGCTCAAGATGTAGTGCGAGATGAGACTTCAATCTACTTGCATGCTGACCACACAATGTGCACGTCCCCGAATGCGCATTGGATGGACGCTGGAATCCACGGTGCAAATTAAGAAGCTGTGTCTCATCAAGAGGCTCAGAATGGATTGTATGCATATGATCCAGGAAGTCCTTTATGTCGGCAAAAGACTGATGAGACTCTGTGTTACAGAACCATTCCACACGATGGGTCCGGGATTCATGAAGAAACCAGTCATCAAGGTTATCGAAGAAGTACTCGTGTAGTTGGCAGTCTGAGTAAGTACAGATGTACGGCTGGAGGTCGGAGAGGACATGCTTCCTTGGGCGCGCGTGTAAGCCAAGTAATCGACGGTAAGTGCTTGAGTTTACTCACTTCCATCTGCGCTCTGACGTGATAATCTGAGCAGTGGAGCAGTATGGACATATAAAATTGTCCAAAAGTCGGCCTTCATTGGACCTGGGTCGATTCGGAAGTCTGATTGTAATCGCATTTGCGGTTTGCTCGGATGCAGTGGAGGACGCAAAGTCGGACACTGAAGGTGTGTACAGTCCGATCGCTGGCGATATTGATACCAACGGAGCGTTTATCTTCAGTGTTGTCGCTTTTGTAAGTTCTGTACGTTGACTTGGGCCCTTGGAGCTGGGTGCCGACTCGCTAGCTATATCCCCTTCAGTAGGTCTGGATAGATGACCATGCTTAGAATGAGGGGTGTCAATCACTATCACTTCTTTCTCCTTCAAGGAGTCAGTGTGGTCTTTGCGGTACTTTATCAGTTGCCTTCTTCTCGATATCATCTTCGCTAAACGAGTAGTAACGGTCTCGTTAAGGTCGGGGAACTTATCCCTAACATACATGATATCAAAGGGCAAGTAGGCAGTCGTTTCAGCCATATACTTCTTGTTCATGCGATCGATAGGGGCAGGGCTGCGAATGGGTAGCCTCCAAAGACAGTCAATGATGAAACTGATAGGGTCCACTAGCGTCGGCTTCACTGGTTCGGGGACTGGTCGATTTGGCTTCTGTCGAGGCAGCTTCCCTTTGCTTGGATACTCCACTTCGGAGTCGGAGGAGACCTCCCATGGGGAACCAGACGAGTCGGATTCATCTTCGTCCGTGTCTGAAGGCTCGGATTTCTCGATTATGCGTTCGTGAGCCGCCACGTTGTCGATCCGAGCGGCTTTCGATGCTGAGCAACGCTTCCATCAGCAATCTCTTTTATTCACATACAATGCAAATGTGGTACCTTTGTTCAGCTAATGCGTGAGCGTTCGATCAGCCATTGTTCCTAGTCCATGATAGGATTGACTATGACGAGTGACAGTGGGAAGGGGCAAAGTGTCTTACACAGCTACGCAGATCCTGCATCAACCTCACTACCTAAGCCTTGTGTAAGTCTACATGTGTAGACTTGGGATGAAAGCGGGATACCTGATGTTTGTAGAAGGAAGACTCTCTCAGCCTATAGTCTAGAGACGACTCGTACCTAGTACCGCTGTGCATGGCGCCCACGTTTCCAGCCCAAAGCCTGTACTTATCAAATGCATCTTGCGTCGCATTTCGATCGTCCCAGCGATAAGAAGAGCTGAGTGCGCCGATAAAGGCAATGAAGATGGAGACACAATGAGTGTGGATTTGGGCGATAGATTCATGCATCTTCGCATAGTGACATCTCTCCGATCAAAATGAGAATTGAAGTTGATGACACCATTAGAAGGCTGAGACGCCAGGATCGCGAGGTTGTTCGTGACACCACGTGGTTCAGCTGACGACCTCGGGACTAGAGCTCTTCGAGCCTAGTCGCAAGGCTGAGTATCCTGAGGTCGTCGTGCCCGCCCCTTCATTGCAGCCTTCTCTGCGCAGCTTCATCAACCGATATGACGCATCCGCCATTTAATGACATTGTTGCCTTACCCAGTGTCGATCCACAACATTCACTATCTTTCCGTCTTTCCACCGGACCAGCCAGCTCACCCCACTAGCGCCATCGCAACTTCCCAACTATGTCTGGGTTCGAAATAGCTGGGGTAGTTTTGGGATCGCTGCCATTGGTGATAGTGGCTCTGGAGCACTATGCTGAAGGAGTATGACATCAGACGCGAGAAGTAAGCAGATCATGGCTAACGCATTACAGCTTTCAACAATCAAAAGTATGCAAAAGTACGAGGAAGCATTTGAGTGTCTTCATGCTTCTTTTGTAACAAACGCTTGCATATACAGGAACTCATGTGAAGAGCTTCTGGGTCCATTAGCTCTTTCAGATGCTCAAGTATGTCAGCTACTCGAAGACCATGACAGCTCGTCATGGGAGGATCCTGACCTCAACGACGCTCTGCGCAATCGATTAGGAAGCAACTATCTACCGTTCAGGTCTTCAGTGAAGCAGTTAAACAAGAAAATCAACCTCTTCGCGCGGAAGTTGCAGCTATGCGAGAACTTTCAGGTGGGCAAATCCTGAAAAGATGGGAGCACTCGCTAAGATGCCGCAGCCGCCTTGGACTACACCAACGGGAAATGTTGATGCAGCGGCACAGAAGAAATTCTTCAACGACCCTTGGATACGGATCAAAGGAGGACTCAAGACGAAACACTATAAGCAACTGTTATCGTCTATCGAAGAGGACATCTGCCGCATCTCCAGCCTCACTGCAGGAGCAATTGCGCTGGAGCCACTACGACTTCAAAGAAGACGCAAAGCCAACACCGAGTATCTTCTGAAGTTTCGACAACAGGCAGAGAAGCTATACGACGCTTTCAACACGCGGTGGGCATCGAGATGTAAATGCCAATGTACACACCAGGCAAATTTGCGGCTTGACATACAGAGAGACGATGAAACAGGCAGCCCTTCCAGCTTCAAGCTTGTATTCACCTTCGCATCACCGCATGGTAGCTATGTCAATTCCTGGAAGCCGATACCGGTAGAAATTGAGGCTATCGATGTAATTGACCCAACAACCCCAAGCAACACCTCATTGCTTCCCAGCATCGTCGTCCACTCGAACACAAAAATACACGACCACTGGAAATGCCTCCAAAAGGCTCCAGATATCGTCGATCTTTGCGCAACACTGCAACACTGCCCAAGCCCACATTGCATGGGAGTCATGAGTAGCAAGCTGGCAAGACACCACATCCACACTCTCCGACTACCATACGCTAGCACCACTGACAAACGCGTGAGCCTGCAACAGCTACTTGAGAAGCAAAGTCAGAGCTTCCAGATCAAGGAAAAGTGTACTCTAGCTCTTACACTCGCCTCCGCTGTCTACCATCTCTACAACACACCGTGGCTAGAAGAAACTTGGGACCTGAACGACATATGCATCCTGAGCCAATCCGTACTATCCGATCAACCATACATATCCCGAGACTTCCCCGCCGCGGCAGTACCACCGGCCCACAGCCAACGAATGCGTATCATAAAGAACAGCATCATCTTCGCTCTCGGCGTCGCATTGCTAGAGATCTCGTACGGTAAGTCACTGCAAACCTTTACAACCAAGGAGGATCTCGACGACGCAACAGGTAGCCGTACAGCATTCACCGACTATCTCATAGCAATTCGGTTGGCGGAGGGGTTGCGTACGCGGGAACTGCCGAACTATGCGGATGCGACGCAGAGGTGTATACATTGCAATTTCGAGGCCTCGGTGTTTAGTCTCGATAATGATGACTTTAGGGAGAGGTTCTATCAGGGTGTTATCGTGCCGTTGAGGAAGGATTATGAGTACGTTGTTAGCGCCGCCACGATATAATGTGTTGAATGAGAAATATGATCCCTCATAGATGAAGCCAGTCGAGTTCATTTTCAGATCCGACCGACGTTGCAGTATTTTCAGCATCCAAACGTGCCCACTGAGGTAAGACACACAGGAGTCCGAACATGTCGGCAATCCAGTGCTCCCCACATGAACGCCGGACGAACTGCGGCCCGAACAGAGAGGTCAACATAACTGCGCCTCCCTATCTGTGACAATGGCACCAAATTCGTTCCGAATGCAATGTGTGTCGATTGCTATGCGAAGATAAAAGGTCGTCCAGGATCGAAACGGTTTTAACCGTCTTCACATTCGGCAGCTGGAGATTAGAGAGTCCGTCAGTTAACAGAACCGCGAGTTCCGAGTATCAGCCCGACTGTTGGCATGGATTTGAAGACGTCTTTCGGTACTGAGAGAATTGCTATCTAGACATATGGTCTTGACCCACGTGATAAGTGAGCAAAAGGACATACTCGTGGCATCATGCAGTCACCACGAAAGCCATGCCCAGGTAGATTCCTATTTGGTGAGCCTATGTGGGAAGCAAGCTGGGAGCTTCACGATGCACCTGTGGCGATCGCAATTCACACCTTACCTCTGTATGAGTGCAGTGTAAGATGTAGACGAGATAGACGGCGCCATGGCAGAGATAGTGAACCATGTGTTTGGTACATGTAACTGACTCAGAATTGTTCGATTGGACGTCAACATGTCCAACGCGCAACCGGCGCCTGGTGGCATGTCAGCTGAATGGGTTGGTTCTCCTATCTCAAACATAGTCGACCGTAGTCTGTGGCTTAAAGGGCCGTTGGTGGATCTCAATGGCGAACGGTCTTTGTAGTACTATGCGTGCCGTGTATTTGCAGGGTCGTGCGATGTACCAACACAGACGAAGGCGCCGCTTGCAGTCATCTGCACGCCCGCAGCCTATAAAGAACCGTCCTATTTGTGGAGGTTAGCTGCCTATCAGAGTTGCGCCGGGATCGGACTGAGTCGTGCAGGCAGAGCTTGTCAGTACTTGTCATGTACTTGCAGGCCACTGCCGTGTGGGCGACGACCCCGGATTCCGCTGACCAAGAATTAGATCAGCAGCCTCACGGCCTTATCGTGTGTTTGTTCGGCAGGGTCAAGGCAGCTCCTTGCTGAATCCAGTGTATGGAGCGAGCAAGGCTGCGAGGTGGTCACGGACCAGGCTGCTTACGTGGATAGCGTGCCCGAGGCATCGGCAAGTAGCAGCAGGGCGTGTCAGTGAGTCGCCACTTGCGGTTTCCAGAATATTTCTGCATGGGGCCGTGATGGGGTTGCTCGGGCAGATGACGACGCTGTGTGGCAACAGCGGGGGGCGTGCGATGCATGCTGCAGCCATTGAGACGGGCGTGCGATGCCAGCGCACAGCGAGTAGCAGGTTGAGTTGGCTGGGGCGGGCGTGCTGTATGTAATCAGTGCAGCGCAGGCGGGAACTGGGCCGCCCCTGGGGAAGCGTTTCAGAGTGAGCTTGGCTCTCTGGGTTCGCACTTCACGCAGCGATAGCTAGTGGGCGGGCGCGGCGACGTTGGCACTTTGATCACGTTGGGAGGCAAATGAAAGCGCGCCCTAGGCCAAGCGCAGGTGCAGGGCTGACGTTGACGCAGCGGAGCGCTCGTATAGCATTTGGCTGTGACGGCGCGAAAGCTTCCAGAAGGCTTGGGGGCTTCGAGCCGGGCGGTTCGTGGATGGATAGGCTGGATCCACCAGTGCGCCTGCCTCTTTTTGTCGAGTATCCCAGATCCAATCAGCCAGACCAGGCCCGCTGCTCTCCTCCACCACACCACTCTCGATTCCTATAGCCGACTTCTGCCCGTTTCGTCCACGCCCTCACTGCCCTCGACCGTGTGCGCCCGATGCTGCTCAGCGTGCAGCCCATAGCAGTGCCGCTCATGCGACACACCGAGGACCGCTAGAGCCCCTGCATGCATCTACAACCCTCACCCGCGCCCTGAAGACGCTCAAGACGCTCCCCAAACACGCTGCGAGCCATCGCCTGAGGACGCCGCCTGCGCTGCTCGAGTCTCGACACGTCCCGTTGCGCGCGCCCCGAGTGAGAGACACCAAGAGGCAGCCGCGCCCAGCACCCGCCCGCCGTCGCGCCTGCCCTCCCACGTCGCTTCCCGCCTTCCTCGTCGCATCCACCCGTTGCGCTTTCCTCGTATACAATAAACACTGCACTCTAGTGTCGTGTGCACTGGCTGCCGCTCGCCGCCTCGCCGGGTTCCCTGGGGCTTCCACCGACGTCGTCGTTTCAGAGTGCATCTCAGACCAACCGGCGCACTCCCGCCGTCCCATCTCTGCGCTCCCCCACGCTTCTGGACGCTCGACTCTGTCCGCTGCTCTCCTGTGTCCACTGCCACTGCGCTCACGACCGCCAATTGGCCCTCGGCTGCACCCCATCCACCACGCTTCCGCCTCGCACTCTCCCGTGACGCTGTCCGACCCGTTCAGACGTCTCACTGCGGCCACCCGTCCTCCCCATTTTGCGACACCTCCCCAACAACCTCCCCTCTGCGCTGGAGACCAGTGCTGTCTGGTCGCCGCACATAGGCGGAGACAATGGAACATGGCGCGTGCAATGTTGTCTACATTGACCGGCGGGCCAACGACGAGCACGTGCGGAAGGAGACGCTGTCCAAGTCGCTCGTCGCGCGAACCACGACTGGCAATGTAGGACAGAGCTACTTTGCTATCGGCAAGACGTCGCCGCGCGAAGTGCACGACAATGTCGAGGCGATGCTGTCCATTTCCAGCGAAGGTAGTCCGTCCTCTTCCTGCGCTCACACATCTGCTAACCCACTTCGCAGTCCACATCTGCAGCACCGGCAGAGCATGCTTACAGAAGATCACCCAGCTCGTCGAGTCCACCAAAGCCAGCATTCCTACTTTCGTCATAATAGACATCCCATACGATGAAGAGCAGCGCATGAAGCGCCTTTCTCGCGAGCCGCGCACGCCCTCGCCCACATCCTCGCGCCTCACACGTTTAGATACGAGCGAACCCGACGATATATACGCCATGCACCTACTCACCCACATATCCTCCGAGATCTCGTCGCGGAACTTCTCCAAACTCGTCGTACCTGTGGTCATGTTGTCGGGTCTGGGCACCGAAGAGCCGTCCTCAGCTGGTCCGCTGCCCTCGCCAGGCCTACAAGTATCTTTCTCGCTCGGCGATACTGTTCGGTTGACGCGATACCTGGATGCCGGCGCTGTTGACGTCCTGACGAGTCCAATGTCAAGGGATCGCATGCTTGGCTTAGCCGTCCATGCCTATCGGTTACAGAAGGAGTTCTCTCGAGAAGAAGCAAGCTTTCTGACTACTAAGCGCAATCGGAAGCTGTCTTGGGTCGGAGTAGACGACACAAAACCTTACGCATATCTGCGTGAGGCGATGGTGTCGAATCTCATGACTGGCATCTGTAATCCAGAGACAGTAGGCGACTCGCTGGAATCTACGTATGTACAAACGGTGACTATGCGACCCGCCGCTGACTTGAGTAGGGACTTCCATCTCGACGTAGATCGCCAAATCGTCGTTGAAGCTGCCATCGGTACTTGGGCCTTCTCCGCGCACGACTACACCGATGACGAGCTTCTCTATGGCGCTTTCGTCATGCTCAAGCATGCACTACAAATGCCCGAATTAGAAAGATGGGCGATAACCGAAGGCAAGTGCGGCTTATGCCAGAAACCTGCTACTTGCTGACCTATTCGTAGACGAGATGATCGTCTTTCTCTTGGCCAGCCGTACTGCCTACAACGAGTTCGTCAAGTACCACAACTTCCGTCACGTAGTCGACGTGCTCCAGGCTCTCTTCCACTTCCTCGTCCGAATTGGCACCCTGCCTCCTTATCCTTCGGATTCGTCCAACACATCCACCCCGAAATCGCCAATCGCTGAGCTCCTCAAGCCCTTTGACGCGCTTACCCTTCTGATATCCGCCATTGGACATGATGTTGGCCATCCAGGAGTCAACAACGCTTTTCTAGTCGCATTGAACGCACCGCTAGCGCAATTGTACAACGATCGATCCGTCCTAGAATCTTTCCACTGCGCTGCTTACTCCCAAATATTACGCCGTTATTGGCCGAGCGCATTCAATGATGCTGCGATGCGCAAGCTCATGATCAACAATATACTTGCGACAGACATGGGCCTCCATTTCAAGTACATGAGCGACTTGGGTAACCTGCAGCAGAAGGTTGCGCATGACAAGGGCGTGGTCGACGGATGGAGTGCCAAAGTACAGGAAGAACAAAAGGACCTGACATGTGGACTGCTCATCAAGTGCGCAGATATCTGCAACGTGGTATGTTTTGAGTTCTTGTCTTTCTGGCGCACTGCAAGCTGACATACTTTAGGCTCGCAAATTTGACACCGCTGCCAGGTGGGCCAACATCCTGACGGACGAATTTAGCAACCAAGGACTCATGGAAGAGGAGCTGGCTATGCCATCATGTCTGTTTGGTGGCCCACCTGTTCGGGAAGACGTCATCAAACTTGGCGAATCCCAGATCGGTTTCATGAACATCTTCGCCCGGCCGCTCTTCGAAGCCGTCACGGACATCTTACCGGCGATGCGCTTTGCTGTCGACGAGATCCTGATCAATAAGGGTGTTTGGGAGAGCAAGATCGATGAAGAACGACAGAGAAAAAGGAAAAGCAAGAGTATGAATCTTGGTTACCTATCATCTGGTTTCACCGTCGATCCGAGCCCAAGTCCTTTGTCTGGAGGGCCTAGCAAGCCCGCTATAAAGATACCTCTGAGTGCCATTAAGACCATTTCTCCCGAAGAAGCGGCTCGACGAGGATCGACAGGCTCCATACGCTCCATTCAAGCTGCGACAGCTGAATCACGAAGATCCTCTTCGATTATTGACAAAAGTTCAAGGCGATCTTCGACGACCGCTGTTCCTGGCCAAAGAGCCATGAGTTCTGCTGAGAATGCCACTTCGTCGAGACGAGG